TGCCTAATTTATCCTGCTCATACTCCTTGCAGGATCACTGCTGCTATTTAAGCTAAATCTCTAGTTTTTATGCTAGGTCTTTCCTAGTTAATGGACAAACCACTGAGGCACATCTACACCTTCCTAGAAACACATTAAATGGTGACAATTCAGAATGTCTCTGTGTCACTGGCAATGTGTGCCCTGCCTTGGCTCCAGCCCTGCCCTGCCTTGGCTTCAGCCCTGGTCCTTTGCTCCTACATTGGAGCAGCAAACAGGTGGGATTTACACCTCTCTAACTTTTTTCCAGCTGCATTTTGACAAGGAAATAGAGCAATTTTCTCATTGGATAAAATGTACATATTTTGCTATTAAACCATGAGGATCTGACATTTTAAGATCTAGTGTTGGAGTCCAGGTTCATTTTTATTACTTTCTTATATGGTATGTGTTAGACCCAGGTTCTCACTGCACTAATACCTGTGTGTGTCAGGAGTTTGATATCTTTGTCATGGCAAAATCTGCAGTCCATCTGGAGACCCAAGGACTTGGGGGGAGATAAGTACTTAAGGGTATATAATTGAAAAAAAAAAAAAAAAAGTGAAATTTGGAAAAGGAGATGGGAGATCATGATCTGGTGGTTTTATTTCCTTTTTTTTTTTTTTTTTTCCCCCTTTTCTTCTGTTACATGACTTACCTGGTCATGTATCCCTGGTCATCTATCTTTGAAGACCTTTTTTTTTTTTTTTTTTTTTACTTTTTTGTTTTTTTTTGAAACCCTAATGGGAAGAGCTTTCCAGTCTGAAAATGGATGAGATGGAAAAATCTGCACTGTGAAGGTGAGGCACTGACCATAACAGATGTTGGCTGACAGAAACAGCCCCTGATTACAAAGTTGTGTTTGTCATTGGATTCCTATTCAGGCTGGCTGTGGTTGTTCACTGGAGGCGCTCCTCTTCTGAGTGACTCAAGTTTGAGAAGTTGGCCTGGAAATCTTCAGTCTGGCTTCCTCCTCCCTGCTGCAGGCTATGAAGCTGGCAACAGGGATCCAGAGCTGCCTTTCTCACAGCATTGCCTATGTTCAAACACAGCATGGGAGAAACCCCTGGTGCAGAAAATAATAATAATAATTTGGCAAAATAATTAAAGAAACATTCCAGAGAATGCATCTGGTTGGAGAAATCAGCAAAGGTTTGGCAGCTGTGGTATTGTTATTTACACCTCCTTAACAAGTTGCCTGCCACAATCTGCATCTCTTACGGGTATAAGAATTAAATGCCTTCATTGTGCTGTATATCCATTGGCCAACCAGGATAATAACATGATGCTTAGATGCTTTGTCAAAGGAGGACAGTCAGTCCGTGATGATCTGCAGTCTCCCCTGAGCCTCCTATCCTCCAGACTAAACAACCCCGGTTGTCATCAGTCCTCATAAGACTTGTTCTCCAGACCCTTCACCAGCTTCGCTGCCCTTCTTGAGACACGCTCCAGCACCTCAGTACCCTTTTTGTAGTGAGGGGCCCAAATGATCTAATACGACCTCTAGGTCTTTCCAAAAATATTTTCATAAGCTTTTGGTGATCTCCATTCTGCTCAGAAATTGCCCAATACTATGATCCCATTAAAATTTGGAGCTTTTATGTTTTTAATCACTTCTAGCTTGATTAGTTTCATCAGATTCATATCATACAGAATCATCTATCATTGGTTTATTCCTCATTACACCTTTGGTGGCTACACATTCTTACCTACCTACCAAAATATTGGGGGAGGGGGAGGTAGTATTTTGTTATTTTCTAAAGAAAGCTTTAAGAGTTTGGCTGTCCCACATTGCTTAGGTTTGGCCACATCATGATCATTGGCCACTTCTGGTTTCATACTCCATGCAAAATGAGACTTTAGCTGTACCTTCAGTGTGAAGTTCACCCCACACAGTGTTCACACATCATCTCCTTGCCACACACACCCCTTCCAGCCAGCGGAGAGAAATAGGTGCTTTCAGGGGGTGATTAATCCTACCTAGTTTAATTGTCTGCTTCAACATTAGAACATTAGATAACCACACCTTAAAGGCACTTGTTTATTTGAACTGAGTACAAAAGGAGAGTAAATGTAGTTGTCAACATTGCAGCCATCTGCACTCGATCAAATGAATGCTGCCCTTCGAGCCATATTAAGATTTATTTATGGTGGGATGCATCTGAACAGATGATGAATGCTTATGTATAACTGGATGTTTAGAATCTCTTCATAGTCAGTGCAAATAAATAGATCTTTTTTAGGATGGGATCTATTCCACATGATAGTACATATCTAAAATGCCTTAGATAAATTGCTGTTGACTACCAGAGGGAGCCCAGCACGACTAAGTTTAATTCTTTGGTTGATATATACACCTATAAAGTCACATGAGATTAACCTATCTCAAGGAAGGAGGCAGACCTTTTTTGTAGCGCAGAGCATTCCACGATTCCTGCCAAGAGCAGTGGGCATTGAGCATGCTGGATGAACATGTTGCTCATTTGCATGCATAAAGGTTAATTCAGGAGTCTAACTGGGCACCCACATTGGAAAATCTTGGTTTTCTGTCTAATTTATTTAATTATTTTGTTCCTTTGCCTAATACATTTTGGTATCAATGTTGGAATTTTTTTTAAAAATACAATAAAAAGCCAAGAAACAAAAAATGCCATCCCTTTACTCACAAGATTATTTTTGTGAAGCCAGTCCTCATGAAGGAAACTTGTGACATGGGTTTGAAGTAACTGTGTTACAAAGTAGAAGTAGACTGCAATTGCAGACTTTTTATAATTTTAATATATATATATATATATTAATCAGGGGCATTATCATTGCAGTCATAAGTAGCAGGGGAATGAAAAAGAGAATAAAGGAAAAAAAGTAGGATGAAGACTAAACCTTCAGCGTAGGGTCATCACCAGATTGAGCCACACCACCAAGGTTTGTGAAGAGGAAGCTAGGAGTAAACCTACTCTGTAATTTGGGGTAGATTAAACCCAAACTACAGCTGTGCTTGTGGGGCAAACCTCTCCCTTTCTCTCTAGCAGATTATGCCAGCTGTTCTTAGTGCCAATTGAATGCAAGTGTTGTTTCCAGTTATTTCCCTTGTGATAAACAAACACATTATGATCTGGTCAGGGGGATTGTAGCAATACCAGACTTTAAGGTCTGCTGTGATTAAAAAAAAAATAATTATATATATATATATACTTTTTTTTTTTTTTTTTTTTTAAACAGATGTAGGCCAAGATCTGAGTGCACCTGGGCCAGTTTATGGTTACAGATGAACACTGTGTGAAACGGAGTGATTTCAACCTGAAACCAGGCAAAACACATTGGCTTTGGCTTGCGTTGCTCTGAGTTATGGAGTTCATAAGGAAACCAGAACTCAGAAGGGGATATGCCCACACAAACCAAAGCAAAAGGAGAGATTTGCATGAGTGCTCACAAACTGAGCCTGCACAGTTGGGTGAGTTACTCCATGCCTCACCTCCCAGCAGCTTGGGCGTTCAGGAACCGGCAGTGGCTGGTGGTGCAGCAGAAGTTCTCGGCTCTTTTCCTGACCATGCCCAGGAGTTTTCCCCCTTTGGTGTTTCATTCACTAGCATAAAAGACTGTTTCAACTTCTATGAAGATGAAGTAGCTTTTAGGTTTTCATTTTTCTCTGCCCACATCTCTGCTTCTCCTCATTTTGCTGCCCTAGTCTTTGTGGCACTTGACAGCTTGATTCTGGTCCCACACAGTCATGTAGCAGTAAGCTGCAGAAACTCTCTTGCACTCTCTCAACATTGCTCATGCCAGAACAAGACAAAGGCGTTTGTGTCTACACTTTCACACAAGCCTTCTCTAGAGAACTCAGAAATAAAGCTGCTGCAGATCGATGCTAATTTAAGAAGTCCTTATATTCCACAAAATAACAAATCAAAATTTTTCTAACAATGATGAGGCTTGCTCTGCGTAGTGCCAAAAACTCACTGCTACTACAAGTAGCAAGTATTTCTGGTTTTGTCCACAGATCTATTCATGCATAAATTTGAAAATGTTTTTCATGATTCAAGTTTGCAGCGAGCCTTGCTTTTGTTTGCAGCATCTCTGTAGCAAACGTTAGCTAATATATGTTTGTCAGATAATCGGATTCATTAAAAGTGATGTTTAATTGTTGTTTCCAGCCACAACAAATTAAGCAAAGACACAATATGGAATGGAGAAATTTCTTATGCATGCTACATAAAAATCAGGATAGAATTATGATGACTATAGCTAATGGAATAATTCACCATAAAAAATTTATTCAAATGTAGCTTTTTTTTCCTGCTGAGGGAACAGCTCTGAGCTAAGTGCAGTTTCCTACACAGTACTTGCTTGGGCAAATATCATTATGAACTTTTTTGCCCTCTGGCTTATTCATGAATAACAACATTTGAGCTGTGTTGGTCAAGCCAGTCACATGGTTCTATTCCTGCTCACTTCATTGAAAAATTGCTCCAAACGCTTCCAGTGCAAATACCCAGGTGCACACATTTAAGACTCTGTTCCTCTTGACGCTCTTCCATTCAACCCTGAAATGTTCTGTGCTGGCTTGTTTAGGCCTGTAAAGTTCAATCATAGAAATGTCCAGATGGAAGCTGAACACAATCAATTAAGAAGCTATAACAAATATTCACCTAATGAAAAAAGACACCCAAGTCCCAGATTTATAAATGTGTGGAAGCTGCCATATCCCATACTGGTCATACTGAATTGAAGTATGAAGTGTCAGATCAATTATTAATGTTCAAATTTTACTCTTTACTCTAAAAAGTAAGGTGAATTCCATTCTTAATTCACTTTGTTGTGATGGGCATAATCTTACATTTCTTGCAGAGCCTGATCTTGCATTGTACATACATACCAGATGGACTATAATGCCATTCTTCTTCACAAGGGAGGATTAACAGTGCTGTAGCTATTTAACTGTGAAATTTCAAGTCTGATATCATCAATCATCAGCGTATTACAATGCATACTACAGACGGGGCTGGTTGCCTATTATTAAGGTTGTCTGACACTTCCCATTACAAGACTCTGTTTTCAGTTGCTCAGAGCTTTGCCAGGCCTTAACCATTTGGATTTAAATTTTTCATGCTGAGTGTCTGCCTCAGGCTGAATAATTTTAGAAAATGTCAGGCAAAATCAGAAAAATGCATAAAAATTCTGACAACCTTTATTTGAACAACTCTTTTGCCCCCTGTACTATGCAGAAAGGGCCTGACATCTGGCAAACAGACTGACCTTTGAGTCAAGGATGAAAATGCAGTGAAAGTCTTTATGAAAACTTGCCGAATCCCAAACTTACTAAGGTCTCAAACTTTTTCCCAAGCTGCAAAGTGCATGGCTCAGGTGAGATTTTGATTGCATCTACACTGGATTCTGCTGTTGCAGGGTCCAAAAATGTTCATTGTCATCACTGAATAAAGAAAAACAACCCTACTTTTTTCTGTCATTCTCAAGTCTGTATGTACCTCTCTTTGACTTTACTTAAGCTATGATTGTTCCTTTTCCATCCATATGGCCAGAGAGAATTATTTTTATTATTTTCATTATTAACCATTTGAGATGATCCATGCCTCACTCCCAGTTCTCACATTATTCCTGCATTACTTGTTTACTAAGCTAAAGTTATTGTCCTCCATTCTGTAAGCAGTCTATTAACTCCTAACAGTCAAGTCTGACGTTCCAATTTAAGCCCTGACAACACAATTCAGTTTTCAGCCCTGATAATGAAACTCAGCAGAGCAGAGTCCCCTAACAGTAACTTTATATTAGTTAGCATAGCACTTAATAAAATGCTTAAAGTACCATTTATATAAATCGTCCTGCAGGCATCTGAAGCAAATATGGCATGAAGGACAAGAGATCATAGTGGTAAGCCACTTAAGTGGCCTTCTTATAAAATGGCATTTTTGAGTAGGAAAAAGAGTGTCACACTTCTATGGCATCCTTTTGCCATGTGGAAAATTGTTGTATTCCTGAGATACCCCTTGATTTTCCAGATCTTGCAATACTCCTGAAGTACAGATGAAGTTCAATAATAAATTCAGCTCTTTTGTGTAAATCTCTGAGCTGGACAAATTGCAAGTGATGGAAGTAAAAGTCTCCCAGCAATCAGTTACGAAAAGGATGATGATTACAGCTGAGATTCCTCCTCTATGAGAAAACCATCCCTTGGCCGACGGCACGGCTGCATCTTGAAACATCAAACACGGTGTTTATGCAAATCTCAGTGTTCTGCTTGTTCTGCTGCAAAAGCCATTTTCGCAGTGACACAGAAGGAAATCCAGTGAGACAAGGTAATAGACATGGAAGGCTGCTAATGGAAAGATTAGGTCTCTAGGCTGTCAGACTTGTCTCTCTTAAGCACATGTTTATGCTTTAAGTTAAATAATACAGTGTGCTTATGTATGTGAATATATATATACTGTACATGTATATGAATATATGAATGCTAAGATGCTGTTCTGTGCAAGAAAGTTGCATCGGAAACTGGTTTCACATTTTTATACATTACATTACATTTCATTACATATATATTACAATGTAAAAGGTTTCTCCCTTTCCCCAGAAAACACAATCTTAACATTCATGTACTCATGTTGAACAAGCCTGTACTTACAAGGGATCTTGGAGACCAAGTAGTTTTGGATGTGACTAGAATTTTCTTATCCTGCAGATGGTTTCTGTGATCCCTAGCTCTGGGTGAAGCATGTCCTTTTCATTGAAGTGAATGCTTCACTGCTGAACTCAGGTCCTGCTGTCAGAAGCAGCGAATCAGGGCATTTAGTACTCCAGGTGTCCTTATTCTTTTGTTCCATAAAAACATTTTTTAATGTATTCCTGTCACTGTACTTAAAAATACAAAACAAACTAACCAGCCAACCAAGCAAACAAAAGAACTGGCTATTCTACTTTAAAAGTCTTCCCCTCCCCCCCCCCCCCCCTTTTTTTTTTCTTTCTTTCCTTTTTTTTTTTTCCATGCACTTTGCAAACCCTGCTATTACTTGCAGCAACTCCTACTTGATGCAACACATCTATACCTAGAGACCAGGTGTCTCCATCGGTCTCTTTTTTGTAGGAATAAAAGTTTGCTTACTGAATTGAGTCTGATCACATTGGAACAGAAATTGCTTCGTGCATTTATTTTCTACATCAGGTTTTGTAGGGCATATTTTGTAGTCCTTAACAGTAATGGCATGGCAGGAAAGAAACTGTTTTTTCTTCAGCTTCGTAATCATTGTTTTCCCACTTCTTTTTTTCCTACACTAAACAAAGAGTTCATACCTCTCCCGTTTTAGAGCACTATGAAGCCTTTACCTGATAATGTGCCTAATCTGATGGGTATTTGTGGAATCAATGCACATCAACAGCTTTTGTGGAATCACAGAGTGGTTTGGGTTGGAAGGGACCTTAAAGCCCATCCAGTTCCAGCCCCCTGCCATGGCAGGGACACCTCTCACTAGCCCAGGCTGTCCCCTGTCCCATCCAGCCTGGCCTTGGGCACTGCCAGGGATGGGGCATGCACAGCTCTTCAGGGCAGCCTGGACCAGGGCTTCGCCACCCTCTGAGGGAAGGATTTCCTCCTAATGTCTGATATAAACCTGCCCTGTTTGAATTTTAAGTCGTCCCTCCTTGTTCTGTCCCTACCCCTGACCCCGAGTCCCCCCCCAGCTCTCCTGCAGCCCCTCAGGCCCGGGCAGGCCACTGGGAGGTCTCCCCAGAGCCTTCTCCTCTCCAGGCCCAACATCCCCAGCTCCCTCAGCCTGGCTCCAGAGCAGGGGGGCTCCAGCCTCTGCTCCTCCTCAGGACCTCCTCTGGACTTATTACAATAGGTCCACATCCTTCTTGTGCTGGGGATCCCAGAGTTGAATACCACAGCTCAATACCACAGGCTGAGTTTACATGTCCTGATTGCATTGCATTGTTTTGGATAAGATGGGAAACGCTGACATAAGAAAACAGAAACTGAAGTATTGGGCTAAAATAACTGTGTCCACTGATCTAATCCTTCCCTAACCAATTTACCTTATATTTTTTTCTCTGCCATTTTCTCTATGTGAGCCTTTCAGATGAGATTTTACAAACCAAACTGTTATCTACTCTTTGGGTCAAGAACAGTTCTACATTGTAGAAGAGCGGAAGGTGTTCGGTGCAGAAGGTGTTTAGAGCAAATCACAAAGTTCAGCCAGGCTGGGGCTGTTTTTTTGCTGAATTCACCTTTTTGTGTCCTGCAACTTGTGGATGAAGAAAGTGTCACTCTCCCTTTTCTTCTCCCTGTAGGCCTGGGCCTGGAGGAGGTGAACTACCTGAGACCTACCATGAACTACCTGAGCTGCCATATTCACAGGAGATGTGATGAAAATCAGGCCGGCTCTTATGAGCAGCTTATAACTGTATCTACACGTGTGCATTTTTGTAAATATTTTAAAGACAGAGATAGAGAGAGAGAACTCTAAAAAACAGCTCTTTCTGTGTCTTGGGACAATAATGGCTGAATTTACAATGAAACAGTGATTGATCTAAACATGATGTAAAATAAAATATTGACCATTCTAATAAAAAATGTTCCTAAGTCTCAGCAGGTTGCTTGGTTGCTTTCAGGTTGTAGTTCTCTGTCTCAGCCACAATCTAGACTGCCTTGCTTAGTTTAGAGCTACATCAAATTACAGGGAATGTGTTGTTGGCAAAATCCTACTTGGATCCCCAATGCTATTTTGTTTTTAAACAGCTTTTTGTTGCTTTCAGTTCTTTTTGTTGCTGTGTTCAAATGTTAATATGGATTCTCAGATGACCAGGGAGAGTTGGAGACAAAAGAAAAATTCCATCAGAATTATAAAAGAATCTGATATATAAAGAGGCAATTTTCCATGGCATTTGTATTAAGTGAATTAAGTAAATTAATCATGGTCAACACTGTGTAACTGTGTCATAGACCACTGGCTAAGAGCCTAATCAGAAAACAATATACAGCTGAGTAATAAAATGGAGTAATTATTGCTTTGATACTATTGTCATTACTCATGATATTACACTGAATGGTATTTGACTTCAGAGGGGTTGCTTGTTGGCTGAGGCATGTCAGGAGTTGATGTGAGCATGATAACCCCATCGGGGATCTATCAATCAGAGCAGAGCAATGCCCAGGAGTTCCAAATGACGGCAGAGTTGGCCCGCTCAAGGCCCAGCAGTGTTTTTACTAAGGGAGGTGAAGGTGAGGAGATTGGAAGAGTCCTGTTTGCCTTCATATTTGACAAGACAAATAACTGGGAATGTGCTTGGAAGTGGCGAAAGAAAGCTCTGCAGGGATTGTGGGCTCATTCTAGCTAGAAACTGAGTTTTTTTAGAAAAGCGAGGGATGCAATCAAAGTCAGGGTTGGGTTTGTTCCACTAAAATTGGGTTGCAATCCCTGCTCACTTGAGGAACTTTATTGACGTGAGTAGTCCCATTGAGAGTATGAGTATTTATGTAGCTGAGAGAAGCTAATGAAATGAACTCAAGTGAAAAAGGGATTGTTCGCATGCCCAAGAATTGTATGACGAGGGCCGTAATCCAACCATTGTGGTTTAGCGATTTGCAAAATTACTTATTTTTGCAGTTGCATCTATGTCAATTTTGCTAACTCTTCACACATTCCAGCCTCTCTCCTGAAATCTACCTTGTTTGCTCTGACTGTCTACTTCCAGGACAGTCATAGCAATGTACTGACCTAATTCTTCAGGTTGTGCAGCTGTGTACTCGCTGTTTTAGGAGATAAATGAACAACAGTCTCCCCATTCTCTGGTGTAAATTGACCAAAACCTCTTCAAGTCAATGAAGCAACATGAAGCTGGCCAAACTAAAAGCCTGAGGCTAGATGCTAGCTCCAAAATAAAAGGTAGTCCTTGCATAGTACTTGTGTAGAACATGCAGCATTTTCAGGTAGGAGAGGGAATCTCGTTAATAAAAAGAACTATGGCTGGGATGAAAGGACTTTGTTGCTAATTTTCACAGATGTACCACAATAGAGATCTTGTGATGCCCAAGGTCATCATACTGTTCAAACTGATTTTTGTCAGAAATGATATTTTCTGCCATTCCAGCTATTCACTTTTTATCAGGGATATATTTTTGAAGGTGTCTGTACTCTTGTTGGCTGCTGGACAGCTGTATCACAAGGATTTCCCTCTGGTATAAAACACAGAGCTCTTCTGTATCAGTATGGAATGCAGTAGCAAATCACTGTACAGTGGCCCATAAGGATACCAGCTACCCTTATAAACTTTTTATAACTTAGGAAAATAAACATGTGGTTTCTGGGCTCTGCATAGTCAGTACTAACTGAGTTGGAGCTTGCTTTACAGAACTAAGAAAGAAAATATTGGTAGAGCTAATAAATTTCTGAGGGAATCAGCGAACAGTATTCTGAAATGTCTGAAACATGTGATAGTATGTGGGTAACTTTGTATTTTATCTCCTGGCGCATCATCCAAGTCGAGCACTAAAGTGAAGTGTTGTCCATAACCAGATCTAGGAGTTCCTGTGGGACACCAGCCTTATGTCAAGCTATCCACAGAAAAACCTGCTAATCCAGGGGATCTGATGTGCTCTCTGCAAGGCCAGCAGATTTATCTCTCTTGCTTAGAGTAAAATAACTGGTCGTAGCAACAGCAAGAAGCAACCAGCTCTATGTATATATCTGGTTAATCCTTTTATTTTTAAATAACTTTTACTTTTAAAAACCCTTCTAATTTAACATTGGTAGTTATTGGGGATGATGATAATTGAAAGATGCAAACTGTAATAACAGATGTTTGCCATCTCTCCCCAGCAGGCTGTATCCATCTTTTTGCAGTCCCTCTCCTGATGTGCCAAGTCAATTCCTCACTGCAGGAAAAGGGCACTCATGAGGATTCTTTGATACATGGAAAAAGCGGAAACCAGGAATAGAAGAAGAACTCACACTCAGGTTGCATACCGCCACCTCTACAAATTCTAAAAGTTACAGATGTAGAGAAAAAATGAGAAATGAAAATATGAGGGGCTATAATCCCCTATGATTTCCATGGGCCCTCACCAACACAGCCACTTCAAGTACTGTATGCTTGGTGTCACTTTCCATCCCTGAATGCACAAAGTTTTCATGATGAGGGTGGTAAGACACTGGAACAGGTTGCTCCGAGAAGTTGTGTGTTCCCTCTCATTGGAAGAGTTCAAAGTCAGGTTGGCTGGGAATTAGCAACATGATCTGGGGAAAGATGTTCCTGACCCCGGCAGGGGGTTCGACTAGATGGTCTTTAAGGTCCCTTCCAACCCAAACCATTCTGTGATTCTATGATTCTGTGATTTTGGTTAGGGTCCATGATCTTTGTGCATGTGTGAGCTGCTGGATCTCATTGGAGCACCCTGAACCCCTTTCATACAGCAGATATAATAGTTGGAGCCCAGGTCACATGTATTTTGGGCACAGTCATCTGCAAGATGCTATGGGTATAGGTTATTTATAACCTAAGCCACAGACTAGGATTTCTGGTCCAAAATCAAACTTTATTTTTTTGTTTCCCAGGAACTGCCTTTTAGTTTGTGACCCCGTCTTCACAGCCAACACACCATAACAAGTCTTGGACAAATTCTGAAACAAGAGGCATGCCTTTTCCCTGCCCATCTGAAAACTTGAGCTAGCCAAAGGCATGACCCAGATCCTTGGACACTCAAACACTGCTATGTAATACAGTTCTACATTCAACTGATCAGCTGACAGATACCTTTTACCCTGGAGACAAGAATGGCAAGGGATGGAAAAAAAGAAAAAAAAAAATCAGTTTGTATATGGGGAACTGAGGCACAGAAGGATTAAGTGACTTGCCTGAAGTCATGCAAGAGGACCATGGCAGAGCCAGGAATAAATCACAGGAATCTGATTCTGAGTTTAGTGCTTTAACCACAAAATCACCTCTACCTCATGTCAGAACATCCTTTGTCACCACAATCTGAAGGTAGCAAGAAGTGGGGACAGAAGGGCTAGAGGTCACAACGGTAAGAACATTGTTCTGTTTAGGTGTGTTCTCTTTCTGATAAGTCCATTAAAGATATCAGTGTTTTCATCTGGAGGTGAAAGGTTCTGCATTCTCACTGTCAGTCCCTTGGGTCTCTGTACATTTCTTTTGAAAAAGCAAAGCAAGAAAGTTACAAGAAAAATAACATTCATAAAAAAAAAAAAAAAAAAAAAAAAAAAAAAAAAAGTAATATCAGAACTACAGTACAACAAGGAGGTGAAATTAAATTTGGATTTGTAGCCTGCAAATGGCTGTGTGAATGCTGAAACATTAACTCTGTTGTTTAGCTCAGATAAAATTATTTCTGTGCCAGTAGAAAATACCTTTCTTCAGGAAGGTCTTCTGGGCTCTAATTTGGAAATTCCAAAAGACTCAAATGTATCCAGTTGTGCACTTGTAAAGAGGTGAGAGACCTGCCAATAAGTGATTTACAGTATGTTTTCCCATGTTTTACATTTTGGTAATTTCATGTTGCAACTCAATACCTAATAATGTAAAATCCAGCTTCTCCAGCTAAGCCAGGAATGAACTCATGGAAGAGTGTCCCATAGGGAAGGGCATATACTACATTACATGTCTGTGTGCCAGCACCGGAGATGCAAAAACAGCTCCATGGAGATTTGTCCTGCAAGGTCAGCCTACAGGATTGAAAGGGTTGGCTGAATTCCCCTCTTGCTACTGACTGACTGCAATTCCCAGGACTCAGACATCACTGAAGAGTCTGCTGAGGTGTGGCTGCTGAACCCCGGGCTCAGTGTGCCTTTGGATGAAGCTACCTGTGAATTAAAATTAAGAGAAACCTGAAGGAAATTTGGATAAAAGCCCCCTTCCTCTAGAGGCTGGTCCAAGCACAGTTGCTATGTCAGGATGTTCTAGAGAGCACAGCTCCACATCTGACCCATAAGATGGGATGTGAACTGGGACTCTGATCTGAATGTCCTATTTTATGGATCTCTGCCAACTTGTGCGTTGCTTCAAGCTGGGACATGACCTCTCAGTCATGCCTTTGATTTTAAGAAGCATAGAGAAGATGCAAAAAATGACCTGAAAATAATTTAAGGACAAGAGAAAATGTGTTTCAGTGGAAGACTTGATTTGTTGAGCTTTTGAAAAGCAGAGTTGTGAAGTGGCTTGCTCATGTAGGATGAGGTATATTCCTAGAGAAAGAATAGCAGCACTGAAGAATTCCTTGTCAAGTACACAAAGACATAATAAAAATTAGTAACAAAATCCGAACCTGGACTCCGGTTCTGATGAAGAACAAGGCCCACAATTGTAGTAGTTGAAGTAGTTAATCATTAGGAACTCCTAGCAATGCAAGTGGCAGACTTTACATCTCTTTGGTCCTTTCAATCATTCTGACATCTGAATTTTCACCTCACAACTTCTCAGGCTATTGAGTGATGTAGCCCTTATTTGTGATGGCTGGAGTGTAGAGTACAAGCTGCTGCCCTTGCTCTCTAGGCAGGGAGCTGCAAGAACTTTACTAGCTAGCAGTTGCCCATTTCACTCTTTCTAGAGATCTCAGAGAAAATTTTAAGTAAGTTAAAGCTATTTATCCCTGTTTTACAGGTGACAAAACAAAGATGAAGTGTATTAAAGTGATTCACCTAAGGCCATATTGCAAAGCAAAGAGATATGCTGAAACAGACTTTTCATTTTCCATCCCTACATCCATGAGTTTTTGGTTTGGCCATATCACACAGCCACACAGCTTAGAATCATAGAATCATTAAGGTTGAAAGAGACCTTCAAGATCATATGGTCCAACCTTTGCCCTGCTACCTATGTCACCCTGTCACCTCAGTATTTCTCGTTCTTCCTCACAGAGAACCTACTGTTCTTCAGACTTGTCACCCAGTGGATTTCCATCCCATTAGGCAACAAGAGATCAGACATTACCAAAGCTTATAGCTTGGCACTGGTTTATTTATTGGAATACACCTAGTCTGTGGAATAAGAACAGCAGT